ATGCAGGGGACACGGGTTCGTGCCCCGGTCTGGGAAGATCCCACATGCCGCGGAGCGGCTGGGCCCGTGAGCCATGGCCGCTGAGCCTGCGCGTCTGGAGTCTGTGCTCCGCAGCGGGAGAGGCCACAGCAGTGAGAGGCCCGCATACAGCAAAAAAAAAAAAAAAAAGAACTAAGTCTTGAGTGAGGTGTGTGCCACTGGGGCTGAGGAGGGGAACAGGACTAGGAGCCCAGGGCCCGATTTCATGAGAACTGACAGGTCCAGCAGGCCAGCTGGTAGCTGGTGCTGCAGGAGGGTGCAGAAAACCTCCCTAGAGAAGAGTGGCGTGATGGTGCTGCTGGTAGCCAGGCAGGGACCAGGAAGGCCAGGTGACAGGGCTCTCCAGGTGCTGTGCTGCCTCTTGGCCTCAGCAGGACAGAGGAGGTGTGTGCAGCATGGCTCTCTGGAGTGCGGTCTTCTTCTGGTATTTGGTATCAGTCTTTAGCCAGAACTGGAATTGCTCAGGCATGTTGGGTAAGAGTCCATGACTTTTTTTTTTTTTTTTTTAATTACCAAAAAACCAATAAACAAATAGGAATTGGTGTAAGATGGTGGACTCCTGGGGAAGGATTCAGAAGCTCTTAGCTTCATCAGTAAATGATGCAGTGGTTCCATGTGCCTGGTGCTTCCTCACAAGTTATCTGACCAGAAGAGGAAACTTGCCTGAGATCAGACTGCGAAACTGCCAGCGATCACACCTATGTCTTATGCCTAGAGGGCAGAAGGCGGGGGACCCTGCAGACAAGATGAAACAGCCTCTCATCGCCTTCTGGATCCCAGCTCCTAGTTGGAGGATTCACGTTGGAAAGGCGAGATTTGAGTGCAAGGGGACAGAGCAGCCAAAGATGAAGAGATGCTTCCAGTTGAGAAGAATGGCAGCTGGCACACTCCGGTGCCAGAAACTTGTGTCAGAAGTACACCAAAGGCTTGGGCACACTGGCTTCAGCTTCCAGTCCTCTGTGCCCTGGGGCGGCATCTGAACCTCTCTTTGGGGAAGAGTGTGCTGCCTCACCTAGACACACTCAGGCCTTGGGCAGACAAGCCAGTGGGGAGGCATAAGCCCTGCCCCAGAACCAAGTTTCTGTGCTACACAGTATAGGCAGTGTTGCCCTCTCCTCTTTGGGATGCTGCCTGGTTTCAGCGAGTGAGGGGAGGAGGGGCTGGTGCCCAGGTGACAGTACCTCGGAGAGTCGAGGTATCTTAAATGCCATCCCACTGCACCTCCTTCCTTGGGCACACAGGTGTACCCAGGGTTCCTGCTTCAGGCTTTCCTGCAGTCTTTTTTTTTCTGCAGCTTTTTTTTCATGCCCTCTTAAGGCAACTTAGATCCAACAGGACCACCAGATGCAATCTTTGTGCACACGAAATTGACCACAGAGGGAAAGTGGGCTGTGGAAGTCCGGAAGATTCCACCCTGGTTCCCTGCAGCCTGGAATTGCCCAGTCCCCAGAGACTCTCCTTTCCAGGGCCCCTCTCCATGGTCTGCCGGTGAGCTTTCATTGTTGTACCCTCAGAAAGCTGATGGTGTAGACAGATCTCCGCTCAAGTAAGGAACAAGGTGGCTGTGTCAGTGAGGGAAGGGAGAAATGTAACATGAGGAGAACACTGGCAACATCTTACAGTGGGTTTGGCATCCTGCCTCTAACCTTAGATTGTAGCCCTGCCATCTGGGTTGAGTCCCTCCCTCTGTGTCTCAGATTCCTTGTCTTCAAAAGGTTTCTGAGAATGCCTAATAATCCTGCTCTGCCTACCTCACAGTATTTTGTTAAATGAAATAAATTATCCAAGTGTTAAGTTACTCTAATTAAATTGCACACTAAAGGCTCCCAGCTCCCCAAGACAGCCAGGCTTCTGTGAGTATAAATTAGCACCGCCTTGAAGAACACTTCGGCGATGTCTCATGAATCTGGAGCTGCGCTCAGCCTGTGACACAGCAGCTCTGCTCTTGGCTTGACATCCTAGAGAAGCACCAGCATGTGCACAAGGAGGCAGGCTCATTGGTGATAGTAAAAACCTGGAATCCACCCAGTGCCCATCAGGAGAAGGGGCCAATTGTGAAATAGCCACACAGTGGAGTACAGTACAGCAGTGAAACGACTGGGCCAGGGCTACATGCCTCAACACAGATGAACCTCTTAAGCAGCATTGTTGCAAAACACCTAACGTACAGTCCCAGTTATACAAGTTCAAAAGCATGCGAACATAGAGGTGATGGTTGCCCAACATTGTGAATGCACTAAATGCCACAGAATTGTACACTTTAAAATGGTTAATTTTATGTTATGTGAATTCCACCTCAATAAAAATTTTAAAACATGAGAAAGATATTGTCCTTTGACTCAGAATAATATATATACTATATAATTACATATATTCATATATTCATTCAATATAAATATATATAAACAAATGGGTGATAAACACTAAATTCAGCATAGTGGTTACCTCTCATGGGATTGGGAAGGTTATACAATAAAAGAAAGATAACAGAGGAGCTTTGTTTAATGATGTGGGTTTATATCTTCAGTTGGGAGTTGGGGACACAGATATTTCTTATATTATTCATTATACCTTTCTACTCTATTTATCTGTAATATTTCAAGATAAATTTTTTTGAAAGAAAGACAAGCCCACATTTAAATTTGCATCACCTCCGTCAGTCTCCTTAGGCAGAGATAGCCAAGGGATGGGCAGTTCAGGGATGGAGGGTTGCCATGGTGATGAGCTTGCTCGGTGTCGAGGAGCTTTTTCTGCCTCCTCTTCTGGGCCAGCAGGCATTCCAGAATGATCCCTCCAAGCTGCTTATGAGACATTCTGCAGGAGATGAGTGATTCACATAGGTGAACTACCACGTGCCCAACCCCTCCAGCCCCAGCTCCCCTTTCTCTGAAAAGCAGGTTGGGTGGCTGGGGGAGCTGAGGGGTCTGTACCAGGCCACGTGCCCTGTCCCAGCACAGCTGATGGTGTGATCCCTGCCGATCAGCCTTCCCTTCGCCCACAAGGCTGCACAGGTGCACACAGGCCATATGTTAGAAAGATGCTACCGCAGGCCTTGACTTGTTAGTTGCAAACAAATGGTTCTTGACCTGGATAAATGAGCTTGAAATTTAAAGACACCAAAATGAATTACAGTCAATGTC